GATTAATCTAAAAAGATGGTCTAAACGGGTCTAACCCAAACTGATTGAACTGGTTTAAATTGGTCAAAATCCATCTAAAGTGCCCACCCTAAACGGACCATGATCAGTTTTCTACACTGAAATTTGAACTGGTTTTGGACCAGAATGAACCAATCTGGATTAATCTAAAAAGATGGTCTAAAAGGGTCTACCCCAAACTGACTGAACTGGTTTGAACACAGTGGCTGGTTCCGGTGTGAATGGTCACCTGGCACGGTGGCTAGCTGCAGTTCGGTGGACGTTGCTCAGCTGTCCTAAACAGAATCTATCTCCTCCTGAAGGATCAACGTAGCCGTCCACCGTCACCAGAGGACAGCTGGACTGGACCTTAAACATCTCACCGACCTGAACGTCCAACTCAAAGTAGGAGATGGAGCACCAGAACTCTGGACCTACAGGACGTAAATAGGAAGGTCGTAAATAGACTGAGACACGAAAGAGAGGAGTGAAAGGTGACAGAGGCAGAGACACCTGAGTTTCGTTGTGTCTCACCTGGATGATTGGAGACGGGTTGTGGATATGGAGGAGTACTGTGATGCTGTGACCCTGCAGGGACAAATACTAAATCAGTATTACAGAGCTTCACTGTAAAATTCAATACCAGATGTCCTGCAGTAGTACTCCCATGGTGCCATACAGAAATGGGTGTTGGGGGTGTGGTGGTGATGTAGTGCCGGCTGCTGCGTGTGGCTCCGCCCACTGTGCTGATGTCCTGTGGGTGTATAGGGGGCGGCGCCATTACCTGCCCAGTTGGCTGCAGAGACACAACAGAATTAGAGTCAATCCCTCTAAAGCTACGTTCAGGTTGCACGCAGCAGGAACAGCGAAAACACGCATGCTGCTGCATTTATGATGCTTTTAAAAGTTTAGTTCTGACGCGCGGCTGAAGCATCTCTGCTGCTCTAGCTGCGCGGTCGAAAAGTGGGTCTGATGCGCGTTGGGCGGAGCTACCCTATCCTTTCCTTGTCTGTAACAATGGCAGCTATATTTGCTGTGATCAGTGGGTAAAAACTGATTTTAATATATTTTGAAGTGAGAAAGTCCCACAGCTAGTTCCTGACTGGCCCCCTTGAGTTGGGCGGAGCTACCCTATCCTTTCTTTGCATTTTAATGATGGTGGATGAAATCGAGAGTAGCTGGGCTTATTTTAAAGAATAATGCTACGTTCGGACTGCAAGAGCTGAAAGCAGCAAAAAAGCTCCTGCTGCTTAATTTTTGATGCTTGTCCACATAAAGGTGAGACGTCCAGTAAAGTCCGTCCAGATGCTTCTGCTGCTACTGTGTTCAATCGCAGAGAGCGGCTTTGCTATATTTGCTGTGATCAGTGGGTAAAAAATAGTTCGAATATGTTTTTAAGTGAGAAAGTCCACCTGAAAACATGGTCTGTGCAGTCAGTTCATCCAGATTACCAACCTGCCTTCAAATATTGTTACACTGTCGGAGCCGCTCAGACCCCCACATACTGCCTTAAATCATAAAGAACCAGCTAAACACAAATCAATTTAATATTTTGCCAAATAAAACAAAATAACCTCCATCAGCAGTGCATGCTGGGACAGCTGTCAATCTCATGAGTGGACAAGTCTGCTCTGATGCATGCTGGGTAAAGAGCGAGAACAACATCCATCTGTTCTCGATCTGCTTTTCTTGTAAATTGGAACAGTACTAGGGCTGAGGTTGATGACGTTTCACGGGTACACGAGAACGCACAAGTACGCAGATTGAGAAACGGCCATTGTTACAGTTTGTACACAGGTTAGCTTGATATTTGAGCTGTTTTTAGTGAATAACAGACAGATTTTATGTTGCATTCATTGGAAAAATATGACCTGGGTGGACTGGAATAATAGAAGAAATCTAGTTTATGGAAAAGCTGACACATCGTTTAAGACTTCGACATACTCATGTGGGAGAAGTGTGGGGGATGTGGACGATTTTCGAGAGAAGAGAGCGTGACAGATAAAAAAAAAATTGGTTAACTTGGTGGGGCCAAGGGCCAATTGGTTGATTGGTTCCCAGTTGAAAGCTCTATGTTATGTTGAGTTTAATGTATAATGTTCATGTACACTGTATATGTAAAATCTGGTAACCCTGAGTGAAAGCTGCCTGAGCAGGATTTGCGAGCCTGAAGTGAAGCTAATATTCTAGCAGAATACATGTGACTGAAGCTAATCTGTCAGTTAGCTGCGCCAAATGTTGCCTCTGTAGGTGTGACATGAAGACGGAGGAGAATTGAACAGGGCTTACCAGCTACAGGGGTGCCGCTATAATCTGGGCTCTGCTGGTGCGGGGAGGTGGGCGTAGCAGGGTGAGCAGACTGTGGGGTGAGAGGTGGGGAGGTCCGACCCCCGTGGTTCTGAGGCATGGTGATCTGCAGGAGCCCGGGCTCCTCTGGAGCCGCGCCGATACCCGCAGCGCTCGGAGCTGCGCACGTCATGGAGTTCCTTCCTGCAGGAAATCAACACGCCAAAACTTTTCACATCCTGAATCACAGGTGAGGACAGACAGTAGACGCTTACCTGGAGGAGACAGGGGCATGCTGGGATACATGCTGACAGGGTGGGACTGGCCGTACAGGTCTGCATGGGGGGGCAGGTCGAGCTGCAGACAGTCCTGCATGAACTCTTCTTTAATCAGAGACTGAGGACCTGAATGAGGGGGAGGCAAAGACTCAGTAGCTGGTTATGTTTGATGTTTTCAGAAACAGCGACCCCTGCTGGCTGGAAGTAACCTATCAGATCTTTCCAGATGTTATGCTGCAAAAACCATCGAGAAATAAGGAAAAATGTCTTATACTAAGTGTGTTTTCCCTTAATCTGAGCAGATAAATAAGATGATTTGCTGATAGAATGAGCAGTTTTTCCTCTCAAAATAAGATAATTAGATAATATGCACTTGAAATAAGACAATACAATATTTTCTCCTATTCTGAATGCAAATTGTCTTTTTTCCATTAGCAAAGTGTCTCACTTTCCTCCTCAATTAAAAAAAGCTTTTATTTAGTATTTACTTCTTTAAAATTAATTTAATTTATTCATCATTTTTTAACTTTAGAAAATTCTATTATTGAAACTGATAATGAAGCCAGAAAATATAAAAACCGATGAGAAGTTCTCCAATGTTTATTCTGAAAATGTAATTTGTGGACGAATGAATTCATTCAAGGTGGGTGAATGAATGTGAGGGGAGGGAGGCTTTTGGGTTGGTGCAATAACTGTGCAAATGTATCCTGTGCTGTCATTTATGTTGATTTAATAGAAAAATAAATAAAAATATTACTTATTTAGATTTCTGTTTTGCTGTGAACTAAAGGCCAGAATACCCGAATCCAATTGTGTGTTTGATCCGACAGAAAATCGTGCGTTTAGGTGGTGGTGGTGTTTAGTTCTCATTGAAAGTCAGTGGGGATGATCACACCTCACACAAAGTTACACTAGAGGGCAGCGTAGCTCCGATTGAGACGAAGCCCCTGTCTATTTTAGTCGGAATATGCAGCAATTCAGCAGCAATTCCATGGGTCTGACAGGAAGAGAGACGCTGTTAAAAAGTGAAACACATCCGCTTTGGAGGAAAATATTAAATGAAATCTGTTTATCTCACGGAGAAAGAATCACTTTTGGAGTCGCTCGTTGCTTATATAGTAAACAGGACAAACTGCTGCAAAAACTATGAGTGAAACAATAAAGTAGAAAACTTTACACATGATAGGAGTTTAGGGGGACAGAAAACAGATAAAGTATTGATCCTGATAAAAAAAAGGAAAAAAGTAACTATCTCTCTCACCTTTTTATGAATAAAAGAAAGAAAAACTTGGATAAACCTCCCAGATCTCTCTCTGAGAATCACCTCCCTGCCTCAGTCACCATAGAAACCGTCCCACGCCGTTTATTACTGTTTTTCTTTTCTTTAGACGTAGATCTCATTACTTTTTTGATATATGAACATTCTCTATCTGTTCTGGTTTGTGATGCTGCACAGACTCGCTTTTCTTCATAGAATGACTTTTCATAATCTGTCCAAGGTAAATGTGGAAAATTATTTTAATGCGTATATACAGTAGCACAGAGACAGAAGTGAAAACAATCTGTGCAGATCTGCTCACCCTGCCTAGTCCAAGACTTTTGTGGGAAAAAAACAGATTAAGCAATTGTATACAACTGGTGGTTTTCTGCCTTAAAGTCGTCGTGAAGCGGCTGTTCCAACTGTTGCATTTCCGAATTCTAAAGTCGAGTGGTGCCCGACTTTACACGACTGAATAAAGTGAATGTGATTGGTCGATTATCAAGGGGGCGGGATTGTTGTGGCGGAAGGTTCGCAAGCAAGTTTGGTTGTGGCCGGTTTGTCGGAAGCATCTTGCTAACCAGTTAGCAACTTAGTGCTAGCAGGTTCCCAATGGGAAATTCCCAAAAAATTTGATTGACAGATGACCGTTGATATATGATTGGCCGAATTTAGGTGTTCAGGCTGACGTAGAACTAACTGACCTGCAGAAGATAACGGAAAAACCCTAAAGAATTTAAGACAGGATTTTCTTATAATAGAAATTTTCTAACTTTTGGGACAATATAGCCTGATAAAGAATACATCTATATACATGTTTAAGCCAGAAAGATTTGACATTTAAATATGACTTCCCTATGACTTTAACAGACCTTCTGTGATAACTTGTTGACTCAGCTCCAGGTTTCTGACTACAGACAGCAGGGGGCGCTGCTGTACTGAACATGGGAATGTGCAATTCAGCTGCACCTGTTTCCTGTTTTTTTCTGAAAATAATACAGTCCATGTTTAAAATGTTGGACAGGAACATTTATTTGTCTCGGTGTCTCTCCTACAATCAGCCGTTAAAATATGAACTTTGCTCACCTGTAGATGTTGGGGACGCCACCCTCTCGTAGTGATACGGGTTGACGCACACGCTGTCGTACTTCAAGTCGAAGGCGTACTGGCAGAACTTCACGTGCTTCAGCTCATTCTTGTGCAGGTCGGGCCAACGCCACAGACGGGCGTAGATCACATGAGGAAAGCCCTTCCTGCCTGCTACCTGTACAGGTGAGACAGACAGAGAGGGACAGGTGAGACAGAATCAACTCTTTGATGAACAACCAAGGAATCTGACCTTATTTACCATTTCTCACATTTTAATCAACAGTTATATAGTGACAACTACAGTATGCAGGGATTAAAGCAAAGCCCCTGGTATTTCTATAGTTTCTCGTGTTCCTTTTTCCTGATGTTGCAGTCGCTTGGTATTGCTATGACAACCACGAAGGGTTTCCTTTGCTTTTTGTCCACCAACACAATGTCCGGTTGGTTTGCCATTATCATTCAGTCCGTCTGTATCTGGAAGTCCCGCAGGATCTCTACCATCTTTGGAGGCGTTTCCCACTTCGACCTTTGGGTTTCCAGCCCGTACTCTGCACAGATGTTCCTGTATACTATTCCAGCCACATGGTTATGGCGCACCATGTGCAGCGAATGGACTGATCCAATATGGTGGACACAGAAGGGGGGGCTGAGACACACTTAAAGGCATACTATGCAACATTTTTCAGTTAATTAATGTGTT